ACTTTCAAATCCAGGGATCCCATCACAATGGTTGTACTCTTCAAGTCACTTGTGTTGTCCCGTCTTGAGTACTGCTCAGTACTCACTTCCCCCTTCAGAGCAGGAGAGATTGCTGAAATAGAGGGAATACAGAGAACATATACGGCACGCATAGACGCAATAAAGCACCTAAATTATTGGGATCGTCTCAAAGCCCTCCAAATGTACTCACTAGAAAGAAGACGAGAGAGATATCAAATAATATACACCTGGAAGATACTGGAGGGCCAAGTACCAAATCTACACAGTAAAATAACAACGTACTGGAGTGAACGATATGGAAGAAAATGTAGAATAGAACCAGTGAAGAGCAGAGGTGCCATAGGCACAATCAGAGAACACTGTATAAACATCAGAGGTCCGCGGTTGTTCAACGTCCTCCCAACAAGCATAAGAAATATTGCCGGAACAACCGTGGACATTTACAAGAGGAAACTAGATTTATTCCTCCAAGGAGTGCCAGACCAACCGGGCTGTGGTGGGTATGTGGGCCTGCGGGCCGCTCCAAGCAACAGCCTAGTGGACCAAACTCTCACAAGTCAAGCCTGGCCCAGTAGAAGAACTCCCAGAACCTCATCAACCAGGTATCTCTAATTCAGAGATCTCTCCTGCTCTGGAAGGGGAAGTGAGTAGCGAGCAATACTCAAGGCGGGACAGCACCAGTGATTTAAATAATGTTAGCATTGCTGTGAGGTCTCTGGATTTGAACGGTCTCATAATCGATCCTATCATTTTCATGGCCGCCGCTATATTTGCTTGGTTATGTTCAGTAAATGTCAGGTCGTCAGACATTATAATTTCCAGATCTTTTTCATGTTTTCCTTTTACGGTTGCGTCTGTGTCCTGTACTCTGTGTTTCGTTTAAGTTTCTTGTTTACACCAAACATCAGTACCTGGAGCTTATCACCATTAAACATCATGTTATTTTCAGTTGCCCAATCAACTACTTTATTCATATCTGCCTGTAGTTTTTCAGTGTCTTCTAAAGTGGCAATTTCCATGTTGATTTTTGTTTCATCTGCAAAGGATGACACGAAGCTACCTATATCAGGCAGATATCGGCAGTATTTTTGTCTATATCAGAGATAAGAATGAGAAATAGCAGTGGTGCAAGGACTGTGCCCTGGGGTACAGAGCTTTTCACTGCACTTGATACCTGGTTGATGGGGTTCTGGGAGTTCTTCTACTCCCCAAGCCAGGCTGACTTGTGAGAGCTCGGTCTACCAGGCTGTTGCTTGGAGAGGCCCGCAAGCCCACATACCCACCACTGGTCCGGAACTTCTTGGAGAAAATTATCTAGTTTTCTCTTGAAGATGTCCACGGTTGTTCCGGCAATATTTCTTATATTCGCTGGGAGGAATTTGAACAACCGCGGACCTCTGATGTTTATACAGTGTTCTCTGATTGTGCCTATGGCACCTCTGCTCTTCACTGGTTCTATTCTGCATTTTCTTCCATATCGTTCACTCCAGTATGTTATCATTTTACTGTGGAGATGTGGGACCTGGCCCTCCAGTATTTTCCATGTGTATATTATTTGGTATCTCTCTCGTCTCCTTTCTAGTGAGTACATTTGGAGAGCTTTGAAACGATCCCAACAATTTAGGTGCTTTATCGCGTCTATGTATGCCGTATATGTTCTCTGTATTCCCTCTATTTCAGCAATCTCTCCTGCTCTGATGGGGGAAGTGAGTACTGAGCAGTATTCAAGTGACTTGCATAGTATAACCATTGTGATGGGATCCCTGGATTTGAAAGTTCTCGTAATCCATCCGATCATTTTCCTGGCTGACGCAATATTTGCTTGGTTATGCTCCCTAAACGTTAGGTCGTCAGACATCATTATTCCCAAATCCTTTACAAGCTACTTTCCTACTTCCCACTGACCTCATTTTATGTGTTTTCACTCAATGGTCACATTTATCGAAAGCTTGATCATATTTGATTGACCATCACGCTCTGCTTTCTGAAAGAAAGTTGAAAATCCAACGCCCCACTTTACCAGTTATTCCTATTGACCACATTTTATGGGCTATCACTCCACGGTCACATTTGTCGAAAGTCTTTGCAAAATCTATGTATACAAGATCTGCATTTTGTTCCCAACAGCCTAGTTGACCAGTCCAGCAACTAGGAGGCCTGGTTGAGGACCGGGCCGCGGGGACGCTAAGCCCCGGAAGCACCTCAAGGTAACCTCAAGGTAAGGGGAAGTAAAGGTAAGGGTGAGGGGAAGAAGGTCGTGATGGAGGCACCTTCTTGTTTACATATGCAAAATTGTGTTTACATGCAAGGTTTACATCATATATTTAAAGTTTACACAGCAGAATTGGGTGTGGGATAAGATACGTTGTCACGAAGTCTCGACCACTATCTATATCGCAGTCCTCCTCTATCGCAGTCCCCCACTCTTATATCGCAGTCCCCCCTCTTCTATCGCAGTGCCCCACTCTATCGCAGTCCCCCCCTCTTCTATCGCAGTGCCACACTCTATCGCAGCCCCCCCATACTATAACACATCACACAAAATAGGGGATTATCGCTTGCTCCCATTTTCGATATATATACAAGGTTTGCGTCTTTGCTCTGTAAATAGGCAGAGATCCAGTCATAGAGTCTTTCACCCACTCGGCTTTATCCTCTGAGGCCTCGTCACAAATGGGCCTCCCTATATCGTCTTCTTCCTTTCTTTGAGCCTATCGTTAGAAAGTTTATTCCTCTATCGTTCTTTCTTTAATTTTGACGCATCTTTGCAAAGATTTTCCTATTTTTTTTAAGGTAAATTGATTAGAAACATGTTGACGAGTCGGTTGATAAGTGTGTGTAGGTCCGTGTGGCAGAGTGTGTAGGTCTGTGGGGCAGTGTGTAGGTCCGTGTGGCAGAGTGTGTAGGTCCGTGGGGCAGTGTGTAGGTCTGTGGGGCAGTGTGTAGGTCCGTGGGGCAGTGTGTGTAGGCCCGTGGGGCAGTGTGTAGGTCCGTGTGGCAGAGTGTGTAGGTCCGTGGGGCAGTGTGTAGGTCTGTGGGGCAGTGTGTAGGTCCGTGGGGCAGTGTGTGTAGGCCCGTGGGGCAGTGTGTAGGTCCGTGTGGCAGAGTGTGTAGGTCCGTGGGGCAGTGTGTAGGTCTGTGGGGCAGTGTGTAGGTCCGTGGGGCAGTGTGTGTAGGCCCGTGGGGCAGTGTGTAGGTCCGTGGGGCAGTGTGTAGGTGTTGGGCAAATTGTGTAGGTCCGTGGGGCAGTGTGTAGGTCCGTGGGGCAGTGTGTAGGTCCGTTGGGCAGATTGTGTAGGTCCGTGGGGCAGTGTGTAGGTCCGTGGGGCAGTGTGTAGGTCCGTGGGGCAGTGTGTGTAGGTCCGTGGGGCAGTGTGTAGGTCCGTGGGGCAGTGTGTAGGTCCGTTGGGCAGATTGTGTAGGTCCGTGGGGCAGTGTGTAGGTCCGTGGGGCAGTGTGTAGGTCCGTGGGGCAGTGTGTAGGTCCGTTGGGCAGATTGTGTAGGTCCGTGGGGCAGTGTGTAGGTCCGTTGGGCAAATTGTGTAGGTCCGTGGGGCAGTGTGTAGGTCCGTGGGGCAGTGTGTAGGTCCGTTGGGCAGATTGTGTAGGTCCGTGGGGCAGTGTGTAGGTCCGTGGGGCAGTGTGTAGGTCCGTTGGGCAGATTGTGTAGGTCCGTGGGGCAGTGTGTAGGTCCGTTGGGCAAATTGTGTAGGTCCGTGGGGCAGTGTGTAGGTCCGTGGGGCAGTGTGTAGGTCCGTGGGGCAGTGTGTAGGTCCGTTGGGCAGATTGTGTAGGTCCGTTGGGCAGATTGTGTAGGTCCGTTGGGCAGATTGTGTAGGTCCGTGGGGCAGTGTGTAGGTCCGTGGGGCAGTGTGTAGGTCCGTTGGGCAGATTGTGTAGGTCCGTGGGGCAGTGTGTAGGTCCGTTCTGCCTATAACGAAAACTTTCCGGAAAACTTTGGTCGTTTTTTGGTACAAATTTAACCAGAAGTGGAAGTGTATTGGGCAGCAACGCCACTTATCCTGAGTGACCACACTCTTCCCTTGAGGTTATCTGGAGATGATTTCGGGGCTTAGTGTCCCCGCGGCCCGGTCCTCCACAAGGCCTCCACCCCCAGGAAGCAGCCCGTGACAGCTGACTCCCAAGTACCGATTTACTGCTAGGTAACAGGGGCATCAGGGTGAAAGAAACTCTGCCCATTGTTTCTCGCCGTCGCCCGGGATCGACCCAGGGACCACAGGATCACGCGTCCAGTGTTCTGTCCGCTCAGCCACCAACTCCACTACACTGTACGAAATACCAACACTATTCCATGGAGTCGATAATTTGAGTTTTATGGAAGTCTTTAATATTGTCCATATAACATTATTGGACACCCTGAAGGGGCCTGACGGCTGAGTGGACAGCGCTCGGCATTCGTAGTCCTAAGGTTCCAGTTTCTATCCTCGGCGGAGGCAGAAACAAATAGGCAGAGTTTTCACCCTGATGCTCCTGTATACCTAACCGTAAATAGGTACCTGGGAGTTAGACAATTACTACGGACTGCTTCCTGGGGAAGGAGGGGAGTAACAAGCAGGAGGCCTGGTCGAGGACCGGGCCGCGGGGACGCTAAGCCCCGAAATCGCCTCAAACTAACCTCTGAAGATAACCCTGTTACGCAACCGTAAGTTTTAACGTAAGCTCTATGAGACGGTAAATATCATCTGTCCATCTCTGGAGTGACAGCCTGTCTACGGGAGACAGAAGGGACCCACCTGTGTCTGGGCACAAGTGACGCGATGAACAACTCTGTTTCTTGTTCAGACGGGGAACAGGTGTTACACATGCTGCGACAGGTGTGTGTTCTCTGACCCATAATTATCCTCAGTGTACCCTACCCAACTCCCCTGGGAAAACCTTTATAAAATTTACACTAGGTATATTTTCCATCATGGCAGTCTTCCTCATGTGGCAGCCTTCCCCATGTGGCAGCCTTCCCCATGTGGCAGCCTTCCCCATGTGGCAGCCTTCCCCATGTGGCAGCCTTCCTCATGTGGCAGCCTTCCCCATGTGGCAGCCTTCCCCATGTGGCAGCCTTCCCCATGTGGCAGCCTTCCCCATGTGGCAGCCTTCCCCATGTGGCAGCCTTCCCCATGTGGCAGCCTTCCCCATGTGGCAGCCTTCCCCATGTGGCAGCCTTCCCCATGTGGCAGCCTTCCCCATGTGGCAGCCTTCCCCATGTGGCAGCCTTCCCCATGTGGCAGCCTTCCCCATGTGGCAGCCTTCCCCATGTGGCAGCCTTCCTCATGTGGCAGCCTTCCCCATGTGGCAGCCTTCCCCATGTGGCAGCCTTCCCCATGTGGCAGCCTTCCCCATGTGGCAGCCTTCCCCATGTGGCAGCCTTCCCCATGTGGCAGCCTTCCCCATGTGGCAGCCTTCCCCATGTGGCAGCCTTCCCCATGTGGCAGCCTTCCCCATGTGGCAGCCTTCCTCATGTGGCAGCCTTCCCCATGTGGCAGCGTTCCCCATGTGGCAGCCTTCCCCATGTAGCAGCCTTCCCCATGTGGCAGCCTTCCCCATGTGGCAGCCTTCCCCATGTGGCAGCCTTCCCCGTGTGGCAGCCTTCCCCGTGTGGCAGCCTTCCCCGTGTGGCAGCCTTCCCCGTGTGGCAGCCTTCCCCGTGTGGCAGCCTTCCCCGTGTGGCAGCCTTCCTCGTGTGGCAGCCTTCCCCGTGTGGCAGCCTTCCCCATGTGGCAGCCTTCCTCGTGTGGCAGCCTTCCCCGTGTGGCAGCCTTCCCCGTGTGGCAGCCTTCCCCATGTGGCAGCCTTCCTCGTGTGGCAGCCTTCCCCGTGTGGCAGCCTTCCCCGTGTGGCAGCCCTCCCCGTGTGGCAGCCCTCCCCGTGTGGCAGCCTTCCTCATGTGGCAGCCTTCCCCATGTGGCAGCCTTCCTCATGTGGCAGCCTTCCTCATGTGGCAGCCTTCCTCATGTGGCAGCCTTCCCCATGTGGCAGCCTTCCTCGTGTGGCAGCCTTCCCCATGTGGCAGCCTTCCTCATGTGGCAGCCTTCCTCATGTGGCAGCCCTCCCCATGTGGCAGCCTTCCCCATGTGGCAGCCTTCCCCATGGTGCAGCCTTCCTCATGTGGCAGCCTTCCTCATGTGGCAGCCTTCCTCATGTGGCAGCCTTCCCCATGTGGCAGCCTTCCTCATGTGGCAGCCTTCCCCATGTGGCAGCCTTCCTCATGTGGCAGCCTTCCCCATGTGGCAGCCTTCCCCATGTGGCAGCCTTCCCCATGTGGCAGCCTTCCCCATGTGGCAGCCTTCCCCATGTGGCAGCCTTCCCCGTGTGGCAGCCTTCCCCGTGTGGCAGCCTTCCCCGTGTGGCAGCCTTCCCCATGTGGCAGCCTTCCTCATGTGGCAGCCTTCCCCATGTGGCAGCCTTCCTCATGTGGCAGCCTTCCTCATGTGGCAGCCTTCCTCATGTGGCAGCCTTCCCCATGTGGCAGCCTTCCTCATGTAGCAGCCTTCCCCATGTGGCAGCCTTCCTCATGTAGCAGCCTTCCCCATGTGGCAGCCTTCCCAATGTGGCAGCCTTCCTCATGTGGCAGCCTTCCCCATGTGGCAGCCTTCCCCATGTGGCAGCCTTCCCCATGTGGCAGCCTTCCTCATGTGGCAGCCTTCCCCATGTGGCAGCCTTCCCCATGTGGCAGCCTTCCCCATGTGGCAGCCTTCTCCATGGTGCAGCATTCCTCATGTGGCAGCCTTCCCCATGTGGCAGCCTTCCCCATGTGGCAGCCTTCCCCATGTGGCAGCCTTCCCCATGGTGCAGCCTTCCCCATGTGGCAGCCTTCCCCATGTGGCAGCCTTCCTCATGTGGCAGCCTTCCCCGTGTGGCAGCCTTCCCCGTGTGGCAGCCTTCCCCGTGTGGCAGCCTTCCTCATGTGGCAGCCTTCCCCATGTGGCAGCCTTCCCCATGGTGCAGCCTTCCCCATGTGGCAGCCTTCCTCATGTGGCAGCCCTCCCCATGTGGCAGCCTTCCTCATGTGGCAGCCTTCCCCGTGTGGCAGCCTTCCCCGTGTGGCATCCTTCCCCATGTGGCATCCTTCCCCATGCGGCAGCCTTCCCCATGTGGCAGCCTTCCCCATGTGGCAGCCTTCCCCATGTGGCAGACTTCCCCATGTGGCAGCCTTCCCCATGTGGCAGCCTTCCCCATGTGGCATCCTTCCTCATGTGGCAGCTTTCCCCATGTGGCAGCCTTCCCCATGTGGCAGCCTTCCCCATGTGGCAGCCTTCCCCATGTGGCAGCCTTCCCCATGTGGCATCCTTCCTCATGTGGCAGCCTTCCCCATGTGGCAGCCTTCCCCATGTGGCAGCCTTCCCCATTTGGCAGCCTTCCCCATGTGGCATCCTTCCCCATGTGGCAGCCTTCCCCATGTGGCAGCCTTCCCCATGTGGCAGCCTTCCCCGTGTAACGGGGGGTGGGGGAAATAGCTCTATCTTGTCCATTATTCCACCCCCCAGTTAACTAACGAGGCCGGGGGAAACAGCTCTCTCTAGTCCGTTATTCCGTCCTCAGTTAGCTAACTATTCTAGAGCACCTCCAGAGTTCCTAAGGCAGCCTCTCTCGTTCAACACCTTGTAACCTAGGTATTTGACTACCTAGGTGCTAAGACTACAAGGCGCCGTAACTGGATCAGTTACCCGAAACTCTAGAGAGAACTCTAGAATACAGAATCATTGCCACAAACGTATAAGAGAAAACGAAAGGAAAGAAATGAATAGTGAAGTAATTAGTGAGGGTTTGGGGTGAGAGGTAGAGAGGTGGGAGGAGCGAGGAGGGTCATTAGTTGAAAGTGAGAGTTCAGAGAGGGGTGGAGGGAGAGGTATAGATAGGTAGAAGTAGAAGAGGAGATAGTAGAAGTAGAAAGTAGATAGTAGAAGACGAAATGCTGCCACCATCCATTCATGATCATTACATACAAGACAAGGAATGGAACTTGTCTGTATCACAATATTCACCAAAGATGTTATCAAGAGATCATTATTAGTATGTCTCATCTTTATCATGTACTCATTCTAAACCATGAAACTAGTAACCACAGAGGCTTTCTCACCTCAACTCAAAATCTCTAGGGAACAAAATAAAGTCCATTTAAATAATAAACTCAACAATTATATTTCACATGAAGTATCATAATTTAGCAATTCAATTAAAATGTTCCAGTTTAATATGCAAAGTGAGTCATCATCCAAGAATTCGAGAACCCTACAACTTGACTGCCCCTGATCATCACACAACATATGTAAACACGACCAAGTCACCTTAATGTTCACTCACCGAGGACTGAGTCTAAGTTGAATAGAGAGGGGGGGGGGGGTCTGTAGCTTGACAGAGACTGTCTCGCCCCTGCCGGCCGACAGCCTCCCTGCTAGGGACGTCTTCTCTGCTCTGCTGGTTCGTTTGCTGTTCCCTTAATAATGCTTCATGCTCCTATGCTCCCTCGGTATATATTGGGGACCCTAGTACTAACTCCGCCCACAAGTAGATAGCCTCCGGCACTACCAAGCCACTCCTTAAACGTCGGCATGTTTGAAGGCTACCAGACTACAATTAAGAGATTAGTAGAAGCAAGGTGAAATTCGCATGATCTGACCTCAGGTCACTTGAGGTCATTAACGCTTTGAGGTGTGAGATCTCAGGCCGACAAACTGGCGCCTCTCCGATCCTTGTCTGTGACTCATGTACTCTATGTATTAAACTAAACCAAACACTTTTACAGTGTTACACCCGTGTGGCAGCCTTCCCCATGTGGCAGCCTTCCTCATGTGGCAGCCTTCCCCGTGTGGCAGCCTTCCCCGTGTGGCAGCCTTGCCCGTGTGGCAGCCTTCCCCGTGTGGCAGCCTCTCCTTGGAAGTCTTTCTTGTGGAAGCATCCCAGTGGAAATATTTTATTGAACCCTCTCTCTGTGGAAGCCTTTCCCCGTGGAAGCCTCACTCTCCTGCTTGATACCTGGTTGATGGGGTTCTGGGAGTTCTTCTACTCCCCAAGCCCGGCCCGAGGCCAGGCTTGACTTGTGAGAGTTTGGTCCACCAGGCTGTTGCTTGGAGCGGCCCGCAGGCCCACATACCCACCACAGCCCAGTTGGTCCGGCACTTCTTTAGGAAAACAATCTAGTTTTCTCTTGAAGATGTCCACGGTTGTTCCGGCAATATTTCTTATACTCGCTGGGAGGACGTTGAACAACCGCGGACCTCTGATGTTTATACAGTGTTCTCTGATTGTGCCTATGGCACCTCTGCTCTTCACAGGTTCAATCTTGCATTTTCTTCCATATCGTTCACTCCAGTATGTTGTTATTTTACTGTGCAGATTTGGGGCCTGACCCTCCAGTATTTTCCACGTGTATATTATTTGATATCTCTCTCGTCTTCTTTCTAGAGAGTACATTTGGAGAGCTTTGAGACGATCCCAATAATTTAGGTGCTTTATCTCGTCTATGCGTGCCGTATATGTTCTCTGTATTCCCTCTATTTCAGCAATCTCTCCTGCTCTAAAGGGGGAAGTGAGTACTGAGCAGTACTCGAGACGGGACAACACAAGTGATGAAGCACACGTGAAAGCCTCATTCCGTGGAAGCCTCAATCCCCATGGAAGCCTCTCATGGAAGCCTGGCACTGTGGAAGCCTCTCCTCTTGCAAGCCTGGCCCTGTGGAAGCCTCTCATCGTGGAAGCCTGGCCCCGTGGAAGCCTGGGCAGCCTCCACGTCCGTCTCTAATTCCTCGTGTCCCGCGGGACGGGGAACAGGGCGGCTTTCATACAGTTTTGGACCAGCATAAAGCCACGTGTGCCATGGGAGGGAGGGCCATGTGTGCCATGGGAGGGAGGGAGGGAGGGATTGAGGGCCACGTGTGCCATGGGAGGGAGGGCCATGGGAGGGAGGGAGGGCCATGTGTGCCATGAGAGGGAGTGCCATGTGTGCCATGAGAGGGAGGGAGGGCCATGTGTGCCATGGGAGGGAGGGCCATGGGAGGGAGGGAGGGCCATGTGTGCCATGAGAGGGAGGGAGAGCCATGTGTGCCATGGGAGGGAGGGAGGGAGGGCCATGTGTGCCATGGGAGGGAGGGAGGGCCATGTGTGCCATGGGAGGGAGGGAGGGCCATGTGTGCTATGGGAGGGAGGGAGGGCCACGTGTGTCATGGGAGGGAGGGCTATGTGTGCCATGGGAGGGAGGGCCATGTGTGCCATGGGAGGGAGGGCCATGTGTGCCATGGGAGGGAGGGCCACGTGTGCCATGGGAGGGAGGGCCACGTGTGCCATGGGATGGAGGGAGGGCCATGTGTGCCATGGGAGGGAGGGAGGGCCACGTGTCATGGGAGGGAGGGAGGGCCACGTGTGCCATGGGAGGGAGGGCCATGTGTGCCATGGGAGGGAGGGAGGGCCACGTGTGCCATGGGAGGGAGGGAGGGCCACGTGTGCCATGGGAGGGAGGGCCACGTGTGCCATGGGATGGAGAGCGGGAGGGCCACGTGTGCCATGGGAGGGAGGGAGGGCCACGTGTGCCATGGGAGGGAGGGAGGGAGGGCCACGTGTGCCATGGGAGGGAGGGAGGGCCACGTGAGCCATGGGAGGGAGGGAGGGAGGGCCACGTGTGCCATGGGAGGGAGGGAGGGAGGGCCACGTGTGCCATGGGAGGGAGGGAGGGAGGGCCACGTGTGCCATGGGAGGGAGGGAGGGAGGGCCATGTGTGCCATGGGAGGGAGGGAGGGCCACGTGTGCCATGGGAGGTAGGGAGGGAGGGCCATGTGTGCCATGGGAGGGTCATGTGTGCCATGGGAGGGAGGGAGGGAGGGCCACGTGTGCCATGGGAGGGAGGGAGGGAGGGCCATGTGTGCCATGGGAGGGTCATGTGTGCCATGGGAGGGAAGGAGGGAGGGCCACGTGTGCCATGGGAGGGAGGGAGGGAGGGCCATGTGTGCCATGGGAGGGTCATGTGTGCCATGGGAGGGAGGGAGGGAGGGCCACGTGTGCCATGGGAGAAAGGGAGGGAGGGCCATGTGTGCCATGGGAGGGAGGGAGGGCCATGTGTGCCATGGGAGTGTCATGTGTGCCATGGGAGGGAGGGAGGGCCACGTGTGCCATGGGAGGGAGGGAGGGAGGGCCACGTGTGCCATGGGAGAGAGGGAGGGAGGGAGGGCCATGTGTGCCATGGGAGGGAGGGCCATGTGTGCCATGGGAGGGAGGGAGGGCCCTGTGTGCCATGGGAGGGAGGGCCATGTGTGCCATGGGAGGGAGGGCCACGTGTGCCATGGGAGGTTGGGAGGGAGGGCCATGTGTGCCATGGGAGGGATGGAGGGAGGGCCACGTGTGCCATGGGAGGGAGGGAGGGAGGGCCACGTGTGCCATGGGAGGGAGGGAGGGCCACGTGTGCCATGGGAGGGAGGGCCACGTGTGCCATGGGAGGTAGGGAGGGAGGGCCATGTGTGCCATGGGAGGGAGGGAGGGCCACGTGTGCCATGGGAGGGAGGGAGGGCCACGTGTGCCATGGGAGGGAGGGAGGGAGGGAGGGCCATGTGTGCCATGGGAGGGAGGGAGGGCCACGTGTGCCATGGGAGGGAGGGCCACGTGTGCCATGGGAGGTAGGGAGGGAGGGCCATGTGTGCCATGGGAGGGAGGGAGGGCCACGTGTGTCATGGGAGGGAGGGAGGGAGGGCCACGTGTGCCATGGGAGGGAGGGAGAGAGGGCCATGTGTGCCATGGGAGGGAGGGCCATGTGTGCCATGGGAGGGAGGGCCATGTGTGCCATGGGAGGGAGGGAGGGCCATGGGAGGGAGGGAGGGTCACGTGTGCCATGAGAGGGAGGGAGGGAGGGCCACGTGTGCCATGGGAGGGAGGGCCATGTGTGCCATGGGAGGGAGGGAGGGCCACGTGTGCCATGGGAGGGAGGGAGTGAGGGCCACGTGTGCCATGGGAGGGTCATGTGTGCCGTGGGAGGGAGGGAGGGTCATGTGTGCCGTGGGAGGGAGGGTCATGTGTGCCGTGGGAGGGAGAGAGGGAAGGCCATGTGAGCGAAGGTTCTCAAGAGAGAACTTGATAAACACCGCCAAAGGATACCTGATCAACCAGGCTGTGACTCATACGTCAGGCTGCGAGCAGCCGCGTCCAACAGCTTGGTTGACCAGTCCAGCAACCAGGAGGACTAGTCGGAGACCGGGCCGTGGAGACGTTGATCCCTGAACCCCCACAAGGAAGGTACCTGGTTGATACCTTATTGATGGGGTTCTGGGAGTTCTTCTACTCCCCAAGCCCGGCCCGAGGCCAGGCTTGACTTGTGAGAGTTTGGTCCACCAGGCTGTTGCTTGGAGCGTCCCGCAGGCCCACATACTCACCACAGCCCGGTTGGTCCGGCACTCCTTGGAGGAAACAGTCCAGTTTTCTCTTGAAGAAGACCACGGTTGTTCCGGCAATATTTCTTATACTCGCTGGGAGGGTG